CAACAGGCAGATAGAGTGAGGAGAGCATTCCGGGAAAAGGAAGCACAGTGGACAGAGAAAGGAGGGTTTGTTCGGAGAGCAGCAGCTTGGGCAAGTTGTGTCAGAGTGAGTACAGGAGAGCAGTGCAAGAGGGGCTCAGGGAGGTAAGTTAGGACAAGAATCCTTCCACCCAACATCTGTGGTCGGCATTATGGATAATTTAAATTTTTCTATTTGTAATATTCAACATAGTCTACAGTGACCACAATGACCACGTACTATGGTGACCACAATGACCACGTACTACAGTGACCACAAAACTGATCCCTGATGAAGTGGTTGGGTATTGTGAGCATGGCACTCTGACCATCTGTAAAGGCAGGGACAAGCAGTCTCCCTGCTGTGTTTGAGATTATGAGGGTAGCCTGACTGAAGCCCATCATCCGAGAACAGCTATGAAGCCCTAAAATGAAATTACCTTTCCGAATGGGTTGGTGTTCTGGCAGGAACGTAAGAGCCTAGACCATTGGTTCTCAACCTTCCTAATGCTGCGACCCTTTAATACAGTTCCTCATGTTGTGGTGACTCCCAATTTCATTGTTACAAATTGAACATAATGAAAGCATAGTGATTAATCACAAAAACAATATGTAATTATATATGTGTTTTCCGATGGTCTTAGACGACCCCTGTGAATGGGTCGTTCGACCCCCAAAGGGGTCACGACCCACAGGTTGAGAACCGCTGGCCTAGACATTCTTGGAGGAAGCATGGCACACAGCTACGCTGGAAGCTCTTGGGGTCCCAGCCACCTTGGCCCAATGCGGTGCCTTCGGGGGAAATGGTGTCTGTCGTTGAGTATGTGAGGGACGTGGAGAGAGCTCTAACTGCAGACCGCAGGTCAGCCCTTCCCCACCCTCCACCTTACCCCCCACCCCCCGGGCAGGGCCCAGAACCAGGAAGGGCATTACCACAGCATGGGCTGTGCCCAGAAAAGGGTTTAGATCTTTTCTCTCTAGGTCAGTTCCTCTAGACTTGGCACTGGAAACACAGCTCACTCTGTCCCCCTTTGGACTGAAACCCAGAGGTCTTTAGACAATTCAGGGAGAATCTATATTAGACTTCCTGTCAATAGGGCAAGTACAGATCTAAGAAATTAATTCTAAAAATGAAAGTTATGATATAGCAATAAAATGTTTTTGTGAATTAGGTCATACACTATTGATCTATATTATCCAAATATTCTAAAATAAATGTGTTAATTTATATTCAGATAAAGTTACTTTTATAAGTCCTATTCCAAATACCAAGTTTCTTAAAAACACAATATATGATCTTTGGTGCATAATCAATATAAAAGTAGTAAAAATATTAATATACAGATTTCCATGCACTAACCTTATAAAATCAACTTGGTATTATAACTGACCTTTGACTGCCTCAGTAAGGCTTGTTTCCCTGACAAAAACGACTTTGCCACATTCTCTGTGTAGACAGCCTGGCTCAACATGGTCATATCAAAGTTGTGTGACCTGATCCACACAACCAGCGGAGGGCAGTTAAATTGTGTGCAAGTCGCCTGGTTGGGTATGTAAGTGTCTTGGAAGACACTGTTTCCTTCTCACCCAACATCTTCGAAAGAATTTAAGTCAGTCAGACCTTTAAAATTCTTGACATTTGTGTAGTTGACCAGCATGTGTGGCCTCTTGAAACATTAAACCAATAAGATGTGCCAAGGAGTGTTGTCATTTCGTAGTCAGCACTGAGGTTCTCACTGGGAGGGATGCTGAGGAAGACTGGATTCTTTCACCAGCTACATCGGGGAATGTGGTCCATTCTGCTTCCCCGACTTCCCCAATACACAGAAAGCCCCAGGAGGCAGGGACGTGTTCCTGACGGCTTTCCAACCTTGAGCGTTTGACCTGGTACCAAGCATCCACTGCCCAGTGGATATTTGGTGCATTGCTTTTTTTTTCCCCCCAGGAAGGGGTAGTTGGCCGGGTCAGGGGCAGCTAGGAGGGAGGCTCTGCATCATCCTGCGTCAGAAACAAACCTTCTATCGCGGATGTCACGTGATGACTCCTGGGTTCTCATTTGTAGTTCAGATTCTTGCGAGTTTGGACAATTGAACTTGACAAAAGGGTTACAGTTGTGCTTTGTTATCAGGAGACTTGTGAAGTCAATGTCTTAGGAAAGACTTTTCATTGCACATAAGAAAAATGAACTTCAGGCCAAGGGTGGAGGCAGCCCAGTCTCCTGAGGGACCAGAACCAAGAGCCGGGAAGCCTGTAGGAAGCCAGGAAGCATGCTCTTCTCTCTGTAGACTTATTGTTTCCCCCGCTGTCTTCTGCAGATGTTTGCACTGCCTCGGGGCACACCCCCCAACACTGCTGACCCACAGCCCAGGACACAGCTTTCTGTGGGGATCGAGGACAGATGGAGGTGAGCCTTTGTGTCTCAGTCCCAGACTTCTGTGAGACCCTGATCAGCCGGCTCAGGCACGGGGATGCTCTTCACTCAGTACTTTGTGTGATAACAGGCGGAGGTAACAGGCTTTACAGAACTGATGTTCTATTTTTCAAAGAAAAATGTGCATTATATACTTACAGGGTGGGGCAAAAGTAGGTTTACAGTTGTTCCTATGGAAAACAATACAGCCCTAGCCAGTTTAGCTCAGTAGATAGAGCATCAGCATCTGGACTGAAGGGCCCAGGGTTCAATTCTGGTCAAGGGCACATGCCCAGGTTTCAGACTCGAGCCCCAGTGTGGGGTGTGCAGGAGGCAGCCGATCAATGAGTCTCTCTCATCATTGATGTTCCTATCTCTCTCTCCTTCTTCCTTCCTCTCTGAAGTCAATAAAAACATATTACAATAATAATAATAATAACAATACAAGGATAATACAAGGATAAAGTGTGTTTCATGCATTCACAACTGTAAACCTACTGTGCTCGCCCTGCATGTAGCCCGGCTGGTGGAACTCGTGGTCTGTTGGGCTTTGTGACAACATGACTTGTAATCATGGCTGTTGGGCTCTGTGGTCTCAGAAGGTTGGAGGTCTCCTTCCCTGAAGGGTGGGGAGTAGGACAGACGGGCCTCCCGCATCGGTTCCGTCTCTCTGGGCACCTAGACCCCTTCTCCTGATTGCCGCTGTAGGAGGAGACTGAATCTGCCCAGCGTGCCTCGCAGCTGGGTCTGCCGGGCCCAGCCTCTTCTCCAAGCCCTTCCAGTTGGCGAAGGGTCAAGAGCCTAACATGGAGTAAATAATGTGCAGGGATTCAGTGGTGTCAGAGGAGCCAGACCGAAGTCAGGCAGCGACACTAGGACTGTAATGACAACCAGGAACACGAGGCATTGCAGCTGCCCAGGAGCAGCTGGTGGGCCCCCGGGCAGGCCGTGGCGGCGGGTCCCAGCTGGGAGAGGAGCCAGGGCAGGTGGCAGTGACCCGTCCTGGCGGGCTGTTTCTTCTTCTTTTATTTGTATTGATTTCAGAGGAAGGGGAGGGAGAGAGAGAGAGAAACATCAGTGATGACAGAGAATCATGGATGGGCTGCCTCCTGCAGGCCCCACACTGAGGATGGAGCCCGTAACTCGGGCCTGTGCCCTGACCAGGAATAGAACCATGACCTCCTGGTTCCTAGGTCGATGCTCAACCACTGAGTCACGCCGGCTGGACCCCAGCAGTCTGTTTCATTCTGCTTAATAGGTTGTCACATGGATTGAAAAACGTACGTCTAAATCTATTTCTGGCTTTTAAATGTGTGAAGGAAACACATAACTTTATTTTTTCATTTTTGTCCAGTTAAAGACAGAGACAGATGCCCTAAAAATGTATGCGTTCCATAAGGAGTTCCTATTCTTTGGCTGTGCGTCTTGGGAAGCAAAAATCAAGGACAAATAGGTCACCCCTCTAGGTTTCCCGAAGGACTTTGGCAATAAAAGGGCTGGAGTCAACACTGGTAACTAATGGAGATGAGGGAGATACACCCAGAGAAGATGTTCACATTTTTTTTAAAAGAACTTTAAAGGGAAAACAATGACGTAAGCGTTGATGTAACATAAATATGATGTTAATTGTTAAATGTCAAAAGTACTGCAGATATAAATAACTGTTTAAAATAGAAACCATGTGAGCACTTGTACGAATTCCCTCCCCAGAGGTGTTTGGAAATCTTCAAAGCCTAATATCCTTTTGTGAATGATCAGTCAGAGTACATTGGGAATGAAGGAAATCTGAAAAAAATAAGAACACATTACCAATCCCAGATATATACCTGGGAGGGGGTGTTAGGATACATTTAACTTCAACTCTAGTGAATCAAAGAGATATCAAAGAACATCTTATAAAACAAAATACTGTGGACATTATTTATTAAAAATATATTTTTGAGCCTGGCCTGTGTAGCTCAGTGGTTGAGGGTGGACCCATGAACCAGGAGGTCATGGCTCAATCCCCAGTGTGGGACATGGGAGAGGCAGCAGATCAGTGCTTCTCTCTCATCATTGATGTTTCTATCTCTCTTTCCTCCTCCCTTCCTCTCTCTGAAATCAATAAAAACATTTTGAATGCATCCTATTTTCCAAGCCTTGTGCCAGGCATGGGGGATATGCTGGTAAATAAGATGGATGCTGTCCCCACACATCTGTCCCTGCCCAGACAGCTACAGGGGACCCGAGAGATTAGTCAAGACTTTTATTTTACAAATGAGGAAACTGAGGCCCAAAATGTCACATAAGGGAAACTGACTATGTTCCTGGCTTTTCCATTTTTAAAATCTAAAAGAAGCATCTCTTATAGATCCTTCAAAAATTCTCAAATTGTATCCCATATAACAAATGTAACTGTTAATTCATTTAAAAAAATACTCTTTATATAGGTTTTCAATATTCTTATGCATTTCTGGAAATAAAACAGGAAATCAAGTGAAAAAAATAGCAAGGTCCAATTTTCAATATCTAATCCAGTGGAGTTTTTTTTTTTTAGAAAGTGTTAGCCATATGATTCCTGTTACCATCAAAAACAATCATACTGTGTGATACAGACCATCTGTTTAAGATATGGCAGACACACTTGGAAAATCCAGAATAATGAGATCTCAAATCCATCATTTGTTAGAGATGTTATGGGTCCAAGAAGATGCCCTTTGGGTCCTCTGTGCTGAGGCGTCATTAGATGGATCAGCCAGACCTCACACCTACCTGTGCTCGACATCTCACGTCATAACTGCGTGTCCCTTGGCTGGCTGACCTGGGGTTGGACTGTGCTGTTGGCACAGTGCTGGCCGCCCACAAGGGTGTGGTGACAATTGCTGAAGTAAATGCCATACAGCATTCTGAGCAATTCAAAAGAGGGATGCTGGCCAGCTACCCAAAGCCATGGCAACCCACAGGTACCGCTCCTTTTGTGATGTACTCTTCATGTGGCAATAGAAGGGGCTTCCTCGGGGACATTTGAATGTCGTGTGTGTTTCATTCCATCTGTTATTCACGCTACCTTTTCTGTTATTTTCAGAATATTAACCTGGCACTACACAGGGCCTATTAGCAATTTAATAATTATACATATGCCACCATGCTTGAAAAGAGAAGTATGTGGGTCTCTAGATGTTTCCTGTCTGTTAATCTCTGACAAAAATGAGTTTGGTTATGATTTCCTATCTGAATGGGAATCATTTGGCCATGGACTCAGATATGTTGGAAACACATGTTTGAGAATCTATTTGGCTGGATGACTTGAATTGAAGCCTCAAAATTTTAAAAAAAAAAGAAAGAAAGAAAAGAAAAGCACAACTAAACACAAGCTCATTAATGCAAAGAGCCGGTGGCATTGGAGCTGTCAGGGGTGATGTGACCTAAACCATCACAGATCGGTTTCTGTATTATTTCTCTTCCTCTTTTTCTTCCTTTCTTTTTTTAAATAACAGGTTAATTGAGATGTAATTCACATACGAAAAGTTTACCTTTTCAACATGTGCAATTCAGTGTTTTTCGTATATTCACAAAGCCGTACCTCAGTATACATTCCACAGCATGTTCATGACCCCAGAAAGAAACCCGTTAGCAGTCATTCCCCATTTCCCTCCCAGAGCCCCTGACAACTACTGATCTCCTTCCTGTCTCTGTGGATTTGCCTGTTCTGGACCCTTTATGTAAATTTAATCATGCATATGTGAGCTTTATGTCTGACTTCTTTCACACAGCATACTTTCAATGTTCATCCATCTCCATTAATATTCGTGTGTGTGTGTGTGTGTGTGTGTGTGTGTGTTACATTTTGTTTATCCATTTATCAGTTGATGGACACTTGGGGTCTTTCTCCTTTGTAGCTGTTATGAATAATGCAGCTATGAATATTCATGTGCAGATTTTGTGTGGAGTGTGTTTTCAAGTCTCTTGGATGGATATCGATGACGAGAATTGCTAGGTCAGATGGTACTCTATGTTTTACTTTTTGAGGAACTGAAACTGTCTTCTGAAGCAACTGTGTCATTTTCATTTCCACCAACAAAGAATAAGGGTTACATTCCTTTACCTCCTTGTCCACTTTGTCCACATTTTTTATGTCAGGCCATCCTAGTGGGTGTGAAGCGGTAACTCATTGTTTTGATTTGCATTTTTTCTAATGATTAATGATGTTGAGCATTTTTCATGTGATTGTTGGTCATTGGTTTATCTTCTTGAAAGAAATATTTATTCAAGTCCTTTGCTTATCTTTAAATGGATTATTTTTCTTTTTATTATTGAATTTTAAGAATTTGTTATATATTCCGATACAAGTCCCTTATCAGATATGTGATTTACAAATGTTGTGTCCCATTCTACAGGTTGTCTTTCCACTTTTTTGAAGTGAAGCACAGGAGTTTTGAATTTTGATGATGTCTATCTTCTTTTGTTTTTATTGCTTGTGTTTCTGGTGACATGTCTAAGAAACCATTGCCTAATCAAAGATTTATTCCTGCTTGTGTTTCTGGTGACATGTCTAAGAAACCATTGCCTAATCAAAGATTTATTCCTATGTTTTCTTCTAAGGGTTTTGTAATTTTTAACTCATCTATTTAGATCTTTGATCCATTTTGAAGTAATTATTCTATATGATGCAAGGTCAGGACCTAACTTCATTCTTTTGCATGGAGATAGCTAGTTGTCCCCTTGAATTATATTGGCTGGCTCCCTTATAGAAAATCAATTGACCATAAAAGTGAGAGTTTGCTTCTGGACTTGTAATTCTATTTCATCGATCTGCATGTCTGTCCTTATGCCACTACCACCACACTGTCTTAATTACTGTAGCTTTGTAGTAGGTTTTGAAAGAGGGAAGTGTGAATTTCTGCAAAAAAAAGAAAAAAAAAAGCCAGCTGGGATTTTGATGTGTATTACATCCAATCTGTAGATAAATTTGGGGAATACCACCATTTTAACAATATTAAGTTTTCCAATTCATGAACCTGGGGTGTCTTTTCATTTATTTAGGTCTTGTTTAATGTATTTCAATGATGTCTTAGAGTTTTCAGTGTAAAATCTTTTACTTATTTTGTTACATTTATTTCTATTTTACTCCTTTTGATGCTGCTATAAATGAAATTGTTTCTTAGCTTCAATTTCACATTGTTTATTACTAATATAGAGAAATACATTGATATTTATATATTGATCTTGTATTCTGCAATCTTCAACATTTTTTATCCTATTATTTTTAATGGATTCCTTAAGATTTTCTATATACTAGATCAAGTAAAGATAGCTTTGCCTTTTCCTTTTCATCTGGATGCCTTCTATTTCTTTTTCTTGCCCAGTTGCTCTGTCTAGACTAGAGCCTACAGTACAATGTTGAATGGAAGTGACAAGAGTGGATGTTCCTTGTCTTTTTCCTAACTTTAAGGGGAAAGCATCTAGTATTTCTCCATCATGTATGATGTTGTGGGCTTTTTGTAGATGACTTTTATCAGGTTGAGGGAGTCCCCTGTATAATTATCTTTGAATGCCATGGATGGGCAGGGCTGAATTATGAAATCTAATGCGATCTGAAAGCTCTTTTAGGACTTCATGTCCTTTCCAGTATTGTAATAGGATGTGGAAACAATGCCCACTGGAGACAGGTTGTCTATTTTTTCCTCTGGGAAAGGCTGCATGTGGCAGAAGCAACTTTTCTATCTCCGCCCTCCGACCCCGCAAGCATTCTTCCTTATCCCCCACCAATGAGAACAAACACATGATTGTGGTAGATAAATCTAATAGCTCCTTTCCACACTGTCCTGATGGCTGCAGGACGCAGTACATTTGCCCATAAGTCCCAATAGCACGTATGCTGGGACGTGAGATAAAAGCTGCAGAAACTCAGCAAAGGTGTCACCTCCCGAAAACCCCCTCAGCAGCCTCCTTAGAAGAGAGGACCTTCTCAGGTCCCGCTGAGAGTCCCGGAAGCTGGGGAATGCGGACTGGTCTGCGTCCAGGGGAAACTGCTGACGTGGCGGTGACGGTGGTGACGATGAAGACGACAGTGACAGTGACGCGGCACTATCCGCTGTCCGGCATAGGCACTGACAGGTGCTAGGTGGGACCTTTAAGAAGCTAAGGCCCAAGAGCCAATGTAGGACCAACCAGCCAGGCAAAATAGGCCCAGCCAGGGACGCGCAGCCCGGCACAGTGAGCTGCATGGCTTTGGCGACTGCTCTCCAGGTCCCTGGTTCCGGTGGCCAGTGCCCATCTCCCACCTGCAGCTCCTAGCCCTTTGCCGCTAGCTCTGTGCAACGCCGAGGGACCGGGAGGTACCGCCCGTGGCTGCCGCATGGCTCTCCCCTTTGTGGCAAAGGGGAGACACCACCCGTCTCCTGGTTCCGGCCCCGCCCCGCCCCGCACACACTCAGCTTTGATTCTCCTGCGCCTTGCGTTATTTGTGTACGACAGTCAGTCAGAAAAGCAACCATCACATTGAAAGGGTCGTTAAGGTCCACCTCATTGCTTTCAGAGCCAAGGGACACATGGGTTGCTAAGGGTCTTAGCAAGAGCAGTTTTGCTCTTTGAATGGAGAACCAGCATTGCCACCTTTACTAGAAGAGATTATTCTTTGCTTATTTCAATTTCTCCAAGTCCCAACCTTTTAGGCAAGAATTATCCGGATCAAGAGAACTTTAAAGGAACAAAAAATCCTCTGCTTTTAAGCGAAACTCTAACCTAGTCACAGAGCAAGTTATAAGTTAGGTAATTGGGTGTTATCGCCTTTCTCTACAGGTGACATCATTTATCCCTGTCTAATACCTTCTGCTTGGAGGAAGAGGGGGAAGGAAGGACGGTGGGGGAAAAAGGGATGGGTACAGGAAAACGCACAACAGTGCTATCCATTTTGGGGGGCTCCTTGGGGAGTGCGGGTGTTTCTCATGAACTGCCATTGAGTGCCGTGAGAGACACATTTGTAGTGCTCCGTGCTGGCCTGCAGAGCCCAAGAGCTTTTAGACACTGATGGTAAGAACTAAGGAACTGCCCTCGCTGGTGTGGCTCAGTGGATAGAGTGTCAGCCTGCAGACTGAAGGGTCCGGGGTTCGATTCCAGTCAAGGGCACATGCCCAGGTTGTGGGCTCGATCCCCAGTAGGGGGCATGCAGGAGGCATCCAATCAATGATTCTCATCATTGATGTTTCTCTCTTTCTCTCCCTTCCTCTCTGAAATCAATAAAAATATATTTTAAAACAAACAAAAGAACTAAGGAACTGACCGGGACACGTGGCCACCAGGTGGAGGATTGGTGGACAAAAGGAGATGAGACTGGATACGTAATCTGGGCCACACTGAGTACACAATGAGACGAAGCAGTGGACAGGCAGGATGCCTCTGCCAGCACCTCGATGCATTATCCTCTGACAAGCTGTGAGCAAGGCGGAGAGCTGCCATGTCTTGGGCTTCCGGCCCTGTTCTCTGATAAGACAGCATCTCTTGGAGGCGAGACCTCCCTTAGGATCCCAGGAGGGCACTGTTCCGCTCAGCTGCTTGGTAATAAAATTTAAGTCTCAATTTTCAGACAGTTTAAAGAAAGGACCGTAGCTAATTTCATAGTAAAAGCCTGAAAGACAGAAACAATTTAGATGATCATGAAATTCTAAAAACCATTTCCGAGATTGAATCATAGAAATGTAGGCTAAGAACTTAATAGTAATCATAGTGATGAGGCTAAAGAA